CGGTCAGCTCCGTCGGCCCCTCGCGCCGTCCAGCAGCCTGAAGCAGCTCTTAAGCACCTTCAGCACCCCGGTCAGCTCCGTCGGCCTTTCGCACTGTCCAGTGGCCAGAAGCGGCTCTTTAGCACCTACAGCACACTGGTGAGCTCCGTTGGCCCCTCGCGCCGTCCAGCAGCCTGAAGCAGCTCTTAAGCACCTTCAGCACCCCGGTCAGCTCCGTCGGCCTTTCGCACTGTCCAGTGGCCAGAAGCGGCTCTTTAGCACCTACAGCACACTGGTGAGCTCCGTTGGCCCCTCGCGCCGTCCAGCGGCCAGAAGCAGCTCTTCAGCACCTTCAGCAGCCCGGAGAGCTCCGTTGGCCCCACGCGCCTTCGAGCGGCCAGACGCGGCACTTCTGCACCTTCAGCACCCCGGACAGCTCCGTCGGCCCTTCGCGCCGTCCAGCGGCCAGAAGCGGCACTTCTGCACCTTCAGCACCCCGGACAGCTCCGTCGGTCCCTCGCACTGTCCAGTGGCCTGAAGCGGCTCTTCTGCACCTTCAGCACCCCGGAGAGCTCCGTCGGCCCTTCGCGCCGTCCAGCAGCCAGAAGCGGCTCTTCTACACCTTCAGCACCCCAGACAGCTCCGTCGGTCCCTCGCACTGTCCAGTGCCCTGAAGCGGCTCTTCTGCACCTTCAGCACCCCGGAGAGCTCCGTCGGCCCTTCGCGCCGTCCAGCAGCGGCTCTTCTACACCTTCAGCACCCCGGACAGCTCCGTCGGTCCCTCGCACTGTCCAGTGGCCTGAAGCGGCTCTTCTGCACCTTCARCACCCCGGTCAGCTCCGTCGACCACTTGCGCCGTCCAGSGGCCAGAAGCGGCTCTTCAGCACCTGGGACAGCTCCTTCGGCCCCTCGCGCCTTCGAGCGGCCAGAAGCAGCTCTTCAGCACCTTCAGCACCCGGTCAGCTCCGTCGGCCCCTCGCGCCTTCGAGCGTCCAGACGCAGGTCTTCAGCACCTTCAGCACCTGGGACAGCTCCGTCGGCCCCACGCGCCGTCCAGCGGCCTGTAGCGGTTCTTCAGCACCCCTGTCATCTCCGTCGGGCCCTTGCGCCGTCGAGCGGCCAGACGCGGCTCTTTTGCACCTTCAGCACCCGGACAGCTCCGTCGGCCCCTCGCCCTTTCAAGCGGCCAGACGCGGCTCTTCTGCACCTTCAGCACCACGGACAGCTCCGTCAGCCCTTCGCGCCGTCCAGCAGCCCTTCTACACCTTCAGCACCCCGGACAGCTCTGTCGGTCCCTCGCACTGTCCAGCGGCCTGAGGCGGCTCTTCTGCACCTTCAGCACCCCGGACAGCTCCGTCGACCACTCGCGCCGTCCAGCGGCCAGAAGTGTCTATTCAGCACCTTCAGCACCACGGACAGCTCTGTCGGCCCCTCGCGCCATCCAGCGGCCAGATGCGGCTCTTCAGCACCCCGGACAGCTCCGTCAGCCCCAGGCACCATCGAGCGGCCTGAAGCGGCTCTTTATTATTATTATTATTACTTTTTTATTTTATTTAAGTAAAAATTTTAAATTTGCTGATGTTCTGTCTTTTATTGAAGTTTTTTTTAAATAAAAACAGGGTTTTCA